AAGAAATGCTGGCTTCCATCCCCGCTTGCATAGAGGTTTGTGCCTTTCTTTGTATTCATCTATCATGTGCTCTGGTTTATTACTGAGTCACATCCCACAGCTAACCTGTGGCAGCTCATTCACCTGATGAAAGGTATTTGGGCTGTTCGTAATTAGGAGGTTATACAAATAAAGTTAACATGTATGAATGTTCAGGTTCAGTGGAAACATGTTTTCAATATTCTTAGGTAAATATTCAAAGTTCAATTTCTGGATGGTGTATCCTAATTGTGCTTAGATTTGCTAATTTGTAGTCTCACCAACAGTATATTTGTGATCTATTATTCTTTACATATTCTCAAATATTTGATATTAGTAAGAGATTTTTTTTCAAAGTTAATTAAATTATAAAAGTTCCCATTTCTGCCCCTCCTCCCAACACCCTCCCACTCTCCCCACTCCCCCTCCTCCTCCCTCTCCATCCTTAAGAGCAGTCAGAGCTTCCTGCCCTGTGGGATGTTCAAGTTCCTCCCCCCTCCCTCCCAGTCCAGGAACGTGAGTATCCAAACAGACTGGATCCCAAAAATCCAGTATATGCAGAGGAAACAAGTCCCAGTGTCATTGTCAATGGCTTTTCAGAAAGACTCCAGGCCAGCCACATTCAGAGAATCTGGTTGGATCGCGTCCTCGTTCAGACCCAGTCCAACTGGCTTTGGTAAACTCTCATTAGATCCGTCCCCTTGCATCCCTCGCAGTCCTTATTTCCTTTTTCATTTTCTTCCTCCTTCTGCTCCTCATTTGGACCTTGGGGGGCTCAGTCCGGTGCTACAATGTGGGTCTCCGTCTGTATCGCCATCCATCATCGGATGAAGGTTCCCTCTGGTCTTGCCTTTTTTGCTCACGTTCTCTTTCCTTCTGCTTCTCGTTCGGACCTAGTGAGTTAAGTCCAGTCTCTGTCTCTATCTCCATCCATCACCAGATGAAGGTTCTATGGTGATAAGCAAAATATTCATCAGTATGGTTATAGGCCAAGGCCGGTTCAGGCACCCTCTCCTCTGTCCAGAGAACAATCTGGGGATCTCTCCTTGGACCTGGGATCCCATTTATAATCAAGTCTCTTGTAAACCCTAAAATGACTCCCTTAGTTGAGATATACTCTTCCCTGATCCCATATCCAACCTTCCTCCCTCCCCCCCATCCCAGTCCCCTGAGCTTTCCCCATTCCTCCCCTACTCCCTTCTCTCTAACCCTCTACCCTTCCAACAACCCTCCCACCCCACCCCCATGCACCCGAGGTTACCTGGGACTCTTGTCTATTTCCAATCTCCAGGAGGATAACTACATGATTTTCTTCAGGTTCACCTTCTTATTTAGCTTCTCTAGGATCACGAATAATAGGCTCAAAGACCTTTAATTATGGCTAGAATCCACTTATGAGTGAATACATACCATATTCATCTTTTTGGGTCTGGCTTACCTCACTCAGTAAAGCGTTTTCTATGTCCATCCCTTTGCATGCAAAATTCAAGATGTCATTGTTTTTTTACTGCTGAGTAAAACTCTAATGTGTATATGTTCCACACCTTCTTTAACCATTCTTCTATTGAGGGGCACCTAGGTTGTTTCCAGGTTCTGGCTATTACAAATAGTGCTGCTATGAACATAGTTGAACAAATGCTTTTGTGGTATGATAGGGCATCTCTTGGGTATATTCCCAAGAGTGGAATTGCTGGGTCTTGAGGGAGGTTGACTCCCAGTTTCCTGAGAAACTGCCACACTGATTTCCACAGTGGCTGCACAAGTTTGCATTCCCACCAACAATGGATGAGCATTCCCCTCACTCCACATCCTCTCCAGCATAGGCTATCATTGGTGTTTTTGACTTTAGCTAATCTGACCGGTGTAAAATGGTATCTCATAGTTGTTTTGATTTGCATTTCACTTAACAAATGGTGTTGGCATAACTGGATGTCAACCTGTAGAAGAATGAAAGTAGATCCATATCTATCACCATGCACAAAAATCAAGTCCTAATGGATTAATGACCTCAACATTAATCTGACCACTTTGAACCAGATAGAAGAGAAAGTGGGAAGTAGTCTACAAGATATAGGCACAGGAGACCACTTCCTAGGTAGAACCCCAGTAGCACAGACAATAAGAGAATCAATGAGTAAATGGGACCTCCTGAAACTGAGAAGCTTCTGTAAAGCAAAGGACACTGTCAGTAAGACAAAAAGGCTACCTTCTGACTGGGAGAAGATCTTCACCAACCCCTCATCAGATAAGGCCTGATCTCCAAAATATACAAAGAACTCAAGAAAGTAGACAATAAAACTAATTAACCCAATTAAAAAATGGGGTGCTGATCTGAACAGAGAATTCTCAACAGAAGAACTTCGAATGGTCAAAAGACACTTAAGGTCATGCTCAACATTCTTAGAGATTATTATTTTTTATTTCATCTGTTGAAATACCTATTTCCCTCATTTTATTCTTTGTTCTTGTTGTCCTTGTCCAGAAAATCATAATATATTCGCAACCTGTCTTTCTTCCTTTTCTTCCTTTCAAAGTCTCCTATATGCACCTCTCACTCTCCATCAACGCCATGGTTTCTCTTTTCACTAATTGTTTCTGCATGCACACACATGTATCTGTATACATCTACACACACACACACACACACACACACACACACACACACACAAAGCCTGTTCAGTGTAAGTAGAGTTTTTCTGTCCTGTAACTACAGCTGCTTTCAAATAAACACACTGAAGTTTATATTAATTACAAGTGCTCAGTCAAAGCTCAGACTTCTTACTAGTTAACTCTTACATTTTAAATTAACTGATCTTTCTTATGTATGCTTTGTCACATGGCTTGATACCTTCTCTCAGTCCAGCATGTCCATCCTACTTTTTCCTGCAGCTGCTGGCCACTCCCATTACTCCATGCTTCTTCCTCCCATTATGTTCAGTTTGACTCTTCCACCTAAGTTTATCCTGTTCAGCTATTGGCCAGTCAGCTTCTTTATTAAACCAATCACAGCAACAAACCTTCACAGTGTACAAAAGGATTATTCCACAGCAGTTCAGTTCATATAATTTTACTTCTATATATGTTTTCAAGGCTGACCCCTTAACACTGGACTACCAATTGGTGCTTCCTTTACTGGGTAGAAACCTTTCTCCTGCTCCCAACTTTCCTAGTTTTTTAAAGTTCTTTGTGTAGGGTAGAGGCCTACAAGACTTTTCCCTGTCTGCTTTGGCTTGGCTTAGTGTCATATTCCCTTATTGCATGTTTTGGCTGTCGTGTTAGTGAGGCTTTATGATTGCAGATTCTGATATTACCAGGAAACACAATCTCATAGTAAAATCCCAAATTTTCTGGCTCTTAAAATCTTTCTAACCCTTCTTCTACAGTGTTTCCCAGGCTTTAGGTGAAGAATTTGCTTTGTAGACATATCCATTGAAATTTGGCTCTATAACACTAAGCTTTGGTTTCCATCTACTGCGAGAGAGGTTTTCTTGATGAGGCATGAGAACTTCACTTATCTGTAGGCATAAGCAAAATACTTGCAGCGCACTTATGGTTTGTGCAGATGTAGCAAAGTATTGTTTGTAGGTTCTCCACAAAGATCCATGATTTCACTAGTTCTGGACTTGGTTTCTAGTACTAAACATTCTTTCTCTTTTGTTGAGTGTTTCTTAAGTCTAATTAGAGAGCTGTTCATTACTGCCAACATATTTGTACCTCTTAGGAGATAGTTGACCACACTATCATCAGCATTAATTAAATAAAAACCTTAGGTTAGGAGGCTAAGTTAGCAACTAGTTTACAGGAAGGAAACAATAGAGCATCATAGGACATCTGGAAGAGTTAGAGAGATGTATCAGAAGTAGTAGGGAGTCATTTTGAGTGGTGTTTTTTGTTTGTTTTTTGTTTTGGCAGAAGAGAAGGACCTGTTTAGGTGGGAAATGCCAGCAAAGAGAGAAGGTTAGCTAGTTGCTACTCAACTTCTCTTAGTTCACAGGTTTTCACCCAGACTTTTAATCAGACTCCAGATAGATACATAAACAGAATGAAAGAGATTCAGTTAAACCTACCTTTAGTAGCAGCAACAGAGCAGGTGCCTGAGGGAAAAGGATTCTTCTGTCAGAGAAGCAGGCTGGTAAGTATGAAGTCACAATTGCTAATTGAAATAGCAGTAGACTAAGGCCCAGCCACTGTGCCAAAGATAAAACAACATGTAGCACCACTGAACCCTTAGGGTTATTGTAGCATGCTGGTTGTACTTGTGGTTCATAGGTGTCAGAGCTGGGTAAGACTTGTTGCTTACTTAGTTTGGAAGCTTACCTGACCCAGCAAGCAGCGTTGAGGTCAGTTGCAGCTGAAGGGGCCTCTAGGTTCTGCATTTGAAGAATGTGGTCTCTTCAGCAATAGGGAATTGCTTTCCACTGCTTTAGAGGAGGGTGGCAAGGAAAAGCGACAGCAACACACCATATGTTTTGGGAATGTCTTAAGCAACCCTGACCAACAACTCAGCAGGGTTTCTCGTGCATGATGTTGGGAGTTTTGTTAGACGCTCTTTGACTCTTAGAGGGAGCATAGTCAGTCCAGATGAGATGAGGTGTGTGTGTGTGTGTGTGTTTTATTTGAGGTAGTTAAAAATATAATTCCTTATGATTTTTTTCAAACATCGTTAGTGCTATTTCTGACTTCCTTTCTTCTCTATTTATATCCTCCTCTCCTCTCTACTTAGAGTCCACCTTCCCCATTTCCATGGGAACATAAGGTCACCTGCGCTTTGTTATTCCATTTTCTGTTGCTTTCCCACGCCTCTACACCTTGGTAATTGTCACTTTGTATCTAACTGGTTTCTAAAATTACCCCTCAATATATGCTCCCATTTGAAGATTTGAAACTAACACCCTCCGATGAGAGAATATGTAACATTTGTCTTTCTGGGTCTGGACTACGCATTCAATAATATCTTTTACAGTTCCATTCATTTACTTACA